TCTGCGAGACGAGGTACGTACACAGATGTCTCTGTAATGAGTTGATGTTAGAGTGTTGCTTCTTGGGTGTACAGGCGTATCGCGAGGTGGCGTCAATGACAAAGAGGGCTGAGGGGAAGGAGGCATTGCCATTTTAATTTGGTCTTTTTGGCAAGAAATAATTCTGGAATTAGGTCACACAGACATAGTTTGGGAAAGTTCAATATATAAGGTAGTAAACCAAAATTCCTTGACATCTAAAAAATATTGGCTCATTGTTTTAGGTGCAAGACACATTTACTGTCTGACGTACACATGACACGTCTATGTCACTTGACTAACAGCATCGCCGAGCTTATGTAATCGTCATCAGTTAACGTGATCGGACACCGAACCGTCGCGACAGCGAACCGTCGTTTCTCACTATAGCTACCACTAAAAAAAAATAAACTTCAACTATTTATCTGAAAATCTGTATTTAGTAGTACTAAGATAATAGAATATACTATTTTATACTATATCTACATATTATCTAAAATACTTACATATATAAAAGAACCTTTTAACAATAATTACATAGTTATGTATAGAAAATAATGTTTATAGATTTTAATCCTTTTTGATTACAATTATCTAATAATTATAGGTATTGTATATTCTTCCTCTACAGTAGAATCATCCTTATATATATTTTTATTTCAATTCAGAGAAATAGTTGAAGTTCTAGCTTTTAGTAGTAGCTATATAAAAGAACGACGACTAACTGTCGCGCCGGCCTTGATTTGCGAGTTTCCTGCAGTTCTTCCCTCTGTTGTGTATAGCCCTTAAGCCTTGTACAAAATACATTCCCACCTTACCCCCGAAGTCATCAATAGCAAGTAGCGGATTCAACCACGCTATAGATAAAGTACTTAGCTAGATTGTTAGTACGCAGAGATACCAGCACTGCAAAGCCTTGAAAACCTTGTGAAACACAATAGATCGGCATCGAACTCAACCAACAATTCCCTCTATCTGATGTTGTCTGACTCCTCTGCTGTTCTTGGTCAGGTCTTTTCCTTTGCATACGGCTTTTCTGGAAACCTGAATTACAAGTTTTACTCCTTGTCTGTTCAACAAGCATATTGTGAAACTACATTAGAGTGGACTGAAACTAGCAGGAAGAATGGTTTATGGTGTTAAGACAGCATACTGTTATTAACATGTAGTATATGGATAGTTAATAATACCTTATCCTTTGAGGAAAATATCTAAACGAAGAACGAGTGACAAAATAGGCGAAGGTTACAGAAAACAAGTCACCAAGCAATTCCGATACAGAAAAGATTAGAATAAAATAGAACAGAGTACTGGTACCCTGTTGAATTGTTTGCATACGGATGTTATCACGATGCAAGCAGAACACCGCTCTACCCGCTCGACCTGCTCTACCCGCTGTACTTGTTATACCTTATCGACCTAGTTTACCTTCTACACCCTGTTGACCTGACTGCCGACCCAGACCGTCTTGCACGTGACGCACAGGCTGCCAAGACCCTCCCGCTCCCGATCCCCTGCCTATGAACCTGATAGCCTGACCCCAGTAGCTAGGATCAAGAGAACGGTTTATAAAAACCTACCAGCCTGAACTGCTTTTCCTACCACCCCCAGCCAGCCCGCACCTTGGAAGATGTACAAAATTGTCTGCCGATAATACAAGTAATTTTCTCATTTGGCTAAGCTGACACCACAGTTTACAGGAAAGCTCGAGATTCTATTATCCTGGCAAGCGTATATCAAATATTGCTGAATCTGGTGTGAAATTTGTGTAATCGATGCCCTCTGCTCTCCGATCATAGAATAAATCATTCGATATATTACCACCGATCAAGTCTGTATTAATTAGGCGATTTTTCGGGCTTCTAAGCAATTCTTTCACTTCCTTCTCTCTCTTGCCGAACTGAGGGGGGATTACGTGTTAGCTAGACCTATATTAGATACTCTCGAGTCAGTGTCGTGGCTTAGCAAATTCAGTATGTACCCTCGCACCAATTATTGTTGCTGGTGAGAGATCAAGTGGCAATTAAACTTTGTACGGGTGAGATTGCGTGATATCGCGCGACAGGGGTGATCGCTCACCCTTCCTTAAAGCGCACTCACCCGATTCACCCCCGGTCGCGCGACCGGAAAGCGGCCTCACCCGCTAGCTCACCCGAGCGGCACCCACCCGCCTTCTGGCCGCGTTCAAGCCACACGCCGGGAGGTTAGTAGTTGGGTGGGTGACCACCAGCGAATCCCTTCTGTTGTATGTCTTTTGTTTCCTTTTTTTTTTTTCTTCTTCACTTCAACTCCATCAAACTTGGTTAGGTATAGTTAGTAGCAGTTGAAAACTTGCGTTGATGCCGATGTGTCCAGATTCTCCGTGATTAAAATAGGAAGATGGCCGAATCCCGAAGTACTCGAGAGTGTAACAATCCCCCCAGACCCAGTTGGATGGTGGTAGCATACGCACATATGAGAAGACAGCAAGTCCGGTTGAACCTTGGAATGAGGGCATTGCAAGCATAAAGAATAGCATCGGGACTTGAGAATGGCTGCCAGCGATTTAATCATTGCATGTGATGGTCATGACACACCGATGCTTCTTAAGACTAATCCGCGGCATCATCTAGCATGTTCTTCCAATGTTTCAATGTTTTCCCTTGGTTGTCGACCCGTTCGTCGCTCGGACCAGCGTAAGGTAGGAGCATCTGCACTATGGACGCGTGGCCATTATCTCTCGCGCATCGTAGGGCTGTTCTTTCTTTGGTATCGACAATGGAAGGATCTGTTACCTTCAACAGATATGCCGTGACCTCTTCAAATCCTCTTTCCACAGCATAATCCAATGCTGTTTGGCCAAAGATATCGAGAGCGTTTGGGTCACTTCCATGTTCAATCAGTAGTTCGACTATTTCCTTTTGGTTTCGTTCACTCGCCCAATGGAGGGCTATTTTATTGGAGGCCCTTTGGCGAACATTGACGTCAACCGCATTTTTAATCAATAATTCGACAGCAAACCATTGGCCTGACTCTGCAAGGTCGGCGAGGTGTTCACCCAAGTTCGATAGAGAAAATAGCCCCTTCGGACTAGCTTCATCGGCGACAATCGCAAGTTCGTCTATCTCGTCGGGATATGGGGGCATCGATAAGACTATGTGGAGAGCTGTTTCACCTCCAAGGTTTGTCAAGTTGAGGTCGGCACCGGCGCTGATAAGATATTTCATCATGGCGAGGCCTCGCCTTACTGTTTCTCCTTGACTGTTAGTCAAGTCAAGGTCAACACCAGCGCTAGTAAGATATTCCCTCATGCCAATGCCTCGCCTTACTCTTCGTCTTCCTGCAGCTTCATGAAGAGCTGTGTTGCCTCTTTTATCTTTCAGATTGACACATGCACCAGCAGAGACAAGAAGCTCGACAGCCCTTTCTTGATGTGTGAACGCAGCAATGTGAAGAGCCGTGTGCCCGTCGTCATTTGGCGAATTGACTTCCGATCCGGCACTAATGAGGTATTCAATCACGGCTGATCCTTTTTGTCCCATTCTTGCAGCCTTATGGAGAGCCGTTTCGCCTCTCTCGTCTTTCAGGTTGACATCCGCACCAGAAGCCACAAGATACCTCACCACTTTCAATGTCCTTCTGACACCATATTCGTTCAAAGTGGATAGAATGAGCAAAGGAGCTCTTATTTCAGCACTGATCTTACCGGATAAGGCGTCGGCTTTGGATTTATCTAGTGTGTCGTTGACAATTGTCGAATTTGGGTATAGTGCTTTGTCAAGCGATAACAGAAAGAAGAAAGATTTATTAATGCCAAGCGCATGTCGCAGAGCCAATCCAAGGGCGACTCGGGTTACCGATGGATCGACTCGGTGCATTTTGCGAAGCAATCTGAGACAACTTGAAGCCTGAAGCGTCTCAGCTTTGGGAAGTCCCTCACCCAAGGCCGAACTGATCAAAACCTCATCCCAGTTTTCAGTGAAAGCGGGAACATCAATAAGGAACTCTAGCCATCGACAACTGGCTTCATCCCGCATGTCTGGGAATAAATAGGATTCCTTTATTGGCGTCGTGCGAATCCTCATCCTCAACAAATATCGAAATAAGGCATAGTGATTGTGCTTCAGCGCCCACTGTAGCTCTTGCTCATTAAGCCCAAGGGACTTGTGAATGTAATCGGCGAGTCTCATGGTAGGTGAAGTATTATGTTCGCCAACGGTTCCACCTGGTAGTGCCAGGTCCCAAGGTCGACTGGAAGGTAGGGTCCTATCTTCGATGGTTTTGCAGAAAAGAGTCCACATTGTTTGGTCATCTGGTCCAACTTCCTTCAAGTGAAGAAACCAATAGTCTCTGACATAGGAAAGAAAGGCGCCATTTTGCATCGTGTCTGTTGAAGATGATCTATGATACTTAGGATCCTCAAGCGACTCTAGAGCAGCTCGAACGTTGATGCGCGGTGATCGCCTCGCCCAGGATGATTGCAGCTTCCATATCAATCTATTTGTAATGGAACTGTTAGAATAGATTGAAGATGCGCTTAGGAAGAGAGGGTCGATCACGAGTTCTTTCTCAGCCTTCACTAATTGACGAGTGAAATTGGTAAAATTTAAATACGTCATGCACAAAAGGCCAAAGTGCTCATTGACCTTTTTTGCGGGATCCTTGTTCTTATTGTGGAAGAGATGTTCCTTGACACTATGATGAGTGTAATGAACTGTATGCTCTTCGTCATCAATGAATGTCAAACCGAGACATCCACGGACAATCCGATTCATATCATTGGGTAGCCGCTTTGTGTTCAGAGACTTATCACCGAGGGAGATGCTTAAAGCTTCCCGGTATTCTTCAATGGTCAGTGGGCGCTTCACCACACCGCAGTATTGGAGCAAGTCCATTGCATGGTGAGAATCCTTTCCCTGCTGGATTCGATGAATCTTTGAATCAAAAAGCTCAGCCAAACCACGCGGAAGGTGGTTCAACGCATCAAGTATGTCTTCATCGCAGTTCTTTTCACACAGGTCTCTGATACATAAACCTGCCCACAGAAACCTAAGTGAGATCCAATTAGGATTTTCAACTTCAACACAATGGTTGATCCCTGGATATTATACTTACATTCCCTGGGAGCCCTTCAGTAAAGCATCCACGATTGTTGTGACGATTTCCTGATCTTGGGGGACCAGCTCACCATCCTCCAAGCAATCATATAGCGTTGCAGCGATGTATCGTTCCATATCGACGTTGAGCTTCCCCTGATCAATCACAACGCGATGCTGTGGCCGGCCCCACTTGAACAAATCCACCTCAAGGCCCGGACGACCCGTACAAATAATCTTCAACGCCCCGACCTTTCCTTGGGAGAGCATCCCCAGAGCCCTTGCCATTTCTCGAATCTGAGCCGTCTCACAATCGTCTATTCCATCAAGGACAATATAGTACATCCGCTCTTTGACCATTCTCGAGAGGAGGAATTGTACGGTTTCGTTCGTGTCCAGACCTTCACAATCGTGCTCAATCGAGAGCAGATCTTCGTGACTGCTCCTCTCAATCAACGAATCAAGCAGCTGGCGACAAATGCTGCCGACGATGTTTCGCGCCGAAAGAGATGGCTGATTGTCTGCTTGACAGAAGAAATGCGCAACAGAATCATTTTCACGTCGTGCCGAATGTAGAAAAGAGACCACATTAGACATCAGAACAGTCTTCCCCATGCCCATCGTTCCAGAGCACCAAAGAATTGATGTCTCTGGATTAACCTTCCACTCAAGGAATGTGTCGTCATGCAGTAGCCACTCGGCGGTTGATTGGACTCGCTGCTTTAGAATTCGTTTCCAAGGTGGAATGTGGTCGACGGGAGACAGATGCTGTCGGATTTTGATCTTCAAGGACGCCCTTTCTCGCTTTACCTGGTTGATCTGCCACTGCCTCGCCTCCTCTTGGCGGTGTGCTGAATTGCTGAAAAAGTTCAACGCAGATGACCTGTACGAGGAGTTTTCCTTGCTCTCATATTCCAGCAGCATTTTTGCCTCTTGGTCAGCCTTTTTTGAGGCAAGAGAGACCTGCAACATTACCTGCTTCCTGGTGGAAGGTAGTCTCTCCAAAAATGGGCTGAACTCGGACTCGAAAGGACTCCAAATGGAGCAGATGGTCTGCAAGGCTGATCCTCGACGAGACACCTCGATGACCTTGCTACATAGCTCAACTATCACGGCATAGTAGTCACACAATGAACGCTGAAGACCGGCATGCCCATGGTAAAGCTGGCCAAACTCTTGAATGGTGGGGCAGGTAAGACCGATGTCCTTAATCATGTTGGTGACCTTGTCGAAATAAGAGGCGATATTGCTGGCTACGGTTATGGCGGTTTTGATTCCACCCCAAATCAAGGCCGCCGTCTCCGGATGGGAGCTGACAAATGTTTCCACAGCCCCCGCAAACTGCTGCGTTGCGGTCAGAAAGGTACATAGTCGAGGGGCGATGCTTCGCCTGGTCTTGCTCGCGTTCTCAGCATCAAGCTGGGCGACAAAAAACAAGACACTCCCTGCATCAGGGACTGTCGTGTTGTTTTCAAATTGTTTGAGTTGCTCGGTTGTTAGCACCTGCTTGAAACTGGTCAAGGCTTTTGTCAGGGACTCTGTGGGGTCCACGTCTGTTTGGCTTTTGTTCTCTTTGCGAGCTAGTTGGAGGGCCATGTGCGTGATCAAGGGCAAGCAATGAATGAAAAAGTCTGGCACAGCGACCTCCGATGGGCGACTTTCTCTGGTGGTTCTTGTTCGAAGCGTGTACTGTATAACAAAATTGACTGAGCAAACACCTGTGGCGAGAGGTGACGAGAAGGCATCAATGCTAGGTAATCTCATCAAGTCACGCGGTGGCGGTGCACATCTAGCGCCTCACCCCTGCTCTTCGTTGGGCGTCCATTTGAGCTCCTAGAACAGGCCAAAATGCCAATCATGCACCTTCGGGGCCTGTGGCTGTGCCAAGCGAATAGGATTCCCGAATCCCAGATCTGCTTTAACCACTTGTCAAAGCCGACCTTCAGTTCGATGGTATCTGAAAATGCTCACTCTGATGTGGCATTGGCCTGCGTGGGAGACAGAGCCGAACAGTCTATGCCATGATCGAAAACAATGATCCTACCAATTTTGTCCATCCATTCTCCTCGCGTGGAGGGGATGTGCTTGACCACAGATGCTTCGTCGAGAGAGGTGTCGGGAGGGCATCTACGGCGGTGAAGCCGGTGTTGTGGACGAGCACATCCTGTCCGTTTCGTTTCGCATCAGTATTGGCGCAGTGACGGATTGATCCAACTCCAGTTCCACGATGTCGAGGCTGTAAATAGAAAGCTAGGGTTCTCTCCTTGGCTTTGTTGCACAGCTGACGAAGACGCGGAAGCCTCTCGACGGTAGACATTAGCTATGGCCGCTCTGAGGCGCTCATCGCTGTGGCTGGTCGGCATAAGTGCTTGGAGCATTCCAACACTTCATAAAGAGGTGTCAAGATGGTAGACTGAGTCGAGCTGATGGCATTTCTAGACGACGTCGGCAGTAGGAGGTAATGGATGGACTCTGAAGAGTAGAGTCGGTTGGTATGGGGCAGAGTCAAATTAGGAGAGTGAAGCAAGCAGAGGGCTTTCAGCGGAATGTATCTAACAGGGATGAAGACTCGCATTGACTAAAGAGCAAGAGCGCAGGATGGTAGCCCGTGAGGTGGTGGATGAGCACTGGTATTAAATCGAATCCGCGGAAGTCCGGGGGCGAGGGGGGGGGGTTATAGTACTCAGTCAAATTGCGCGCCTTCTTGATTCTGATCTGCCCGCAATCCCCCTCCCACAGACCAGTATGGTTGTACGATGGGAAGGAACTGACCTTGTGAGAGTGTAACCATCATTGCGATCTTCGTGACGCGTGCCTAGGGACTGATCCAGACTAAAGAATAGAGGCCTATAAAGTGATCACTGCAGTAAAACTGAAACTAGGCCACCAGCGTTGAAAGTTAACAAACCCCAGAATGCCAGAGATATCAGTCTACCGACTTCTACGAGAGATACTTTTGTACAACCCATGCGATAAGATTCAAGTTCAGATTTCCCATCTATAGGTACACAAACAATGCCGCGGAGCAGCAGGTATCACAAGATAAAAGCAATTGAAGCAATGTACAAATCAAAATGAATGTGAAGAGGTAAGAAGTCTAGAGCGAATCAACCCTCAGGTGCAGATGCAGCTTGCATTAACGTCATTAGACCAACATGAGCCCCGATCAAAAGTCAGTGAAAAGGAGTCTCGTTGGCATGTCATCATGATTGGTGTAAGAGGTCATTATCTCCGGATTCTTTCAACCGAAACGCCGTTTTCCCAGTTATCATTTGATGAATGATAGAGCTTTGCGACGCAGCTTAGACGTGACGGAAAGGCTCGTACGCGTTGGTGCGGCCGTTCTGCTGCATGGGAACGTGGCCCGGGGGAGGAGGGGGCGGGTAGGCGGTGTTGGTGTAGGCGGGCTGCTGGGGCTGGCCGTAGGGGCCGAGGGGCTCGTAGGTGTAGGGGGCCTTCTCGGCCGTGACGGCGCGGGCGGTGTTGCGGTGGTTGTAGGGGGAGCGGCCGGAGCAGCAGCAGGTGCTCAGGAGCCAGAACAGGGAGGCACCGAGCGAGAAGGCGACGGCGAGCCAGGTGGCGACATAGATGTTCTTGCCCATGTGACCCTTGACGCCATACGATTCCAGCTCGGTCTTGAAGACGCCCTTGAGGACGGCGAACAAGGCGGTTGACGTCACGGAGGCGGCGGTCGTGAAGAGGAATGCGACCTGCAGGCGGGGGTTGTTAGTGCAAAGCACGGAATGGAAGGAATGCATCAGAACGTACGGCAGAGACAAGAGTGGTCACGCAGCTTCCCCAGCGACTGCAGATGGCGAAGACACCGACGACCAGTTCGACGATAGTGGCGATGAATGCGATAATGTAGGCGATGAACATCCACTTGGAGACGCTCTTGTAGACCTTCAGTTCCTTCTTCACGCTGCTGGAGAGCGCGTTCTCGAGACCGGACTCTTCCAAGTTCCACACCTCCAACGGGTTGAACCAGAATTCAGCTTCGGGCTTGGAGCAGTTGGTCGTCTTGTAGTCGTTGCCGTTGGTGATGTTGCCGGAGCAGTAACCCCACAGACCGACGGTGTAGAAGTCCTGGATGTTGTATTGCTCCTCGATCTCCTCCAATGCGGCCGACAGGTCGCCATCCGAGACACCGGCGAGATCGCTGATGGCGGAGGTGATTTTCGCGGTCGTCGATGAAGTTCCGTTTGTGATGTTTTGGAGATTGATCTGGATTCAGGTTAGTCTGGCACATGCACATGCATGCAGACGCATGGTATACATACTCTGAAGAAGTAGAGATTATCCAAGGTACTGGAGCTGGATTTGGTACAGCCCAGCCCCACCATGACAATACATATCAAAGAGGCGATGGTGAGGACATAGGGGGTGAAGATACAGACAATGCGACCGCCTTTACCCATGATGCCGATGACTTTTGAAAATGTGATGCTGTTTTCGGTAATTCAAAAACACTTGTCCGGGGAAAGGTAGGAGTGGACAAGGTTGGCAGGGAAGTTGATGAAAGGAAGAGAGTGAGAAAAGGCTGGAGTCAGCGGGCAGAGGCTGGGCTTTAAACAAGTAAATAAACGAGTGAGCCGAAGGATCGTCGGGACGGGCAAGCAAGCAAGCAACAGATGATGTAGAGTTGAGAGAGAGGCGCAGTCAGCAGCAAGCAAATAATGCGGATGGTTGGGAGCAAATTTACAGCCAAGTCGATCAGCGGACCAATCACGAGATGCGCCGCACCAACTACGCCACGCTTGTTTCTATTTCGATAATGCAAGGTTTCCACCGCAACACGGGAAGAGTGGGTCCATTCACTGCTCTTTTTCTCTTTGTGAGGGCTTTTGACACCGCCAGACCCTCGTGGCGGAGACTCACCAGCCCTACCGCCACGTCAGTTGTGGCTGCGTTAATACGCGTCTTATGGAGATGGAGCAGACCCTGCAATTCTACGAGTACGGATAGCTAGAACGGGACTCCCTGAGTTCGATGGAGCTCAACCAAACCTGAACCCTTCAGCACAGTCTCAACACGACTGCGGAACTTAAAGATCACAGACGAAGGATCCGAGCCCGCCCCAGAAGGTCAAACTTATCTGATACACAGTGGATCGACTCCAGCGATCATCAGTCGGATGAGCTTATTATTCATCGACCTTCTCACCCGCATTAGTTAGAGGTTGGAAGAGTCAGCCCATTGCCCAGGGCCCAGGAAAAGCAAAACAGGAGTTTTAGGCTTCCCCGTTATCCTCTTGGCAACATTCATCTCCAAGGTCACAGATAGACATCAGCATTTGAATCCGGGGAGAGTACGTACGTACGTACCACTCGCTGCAGATTCTGCGTCTAAGCCTCAACACACGCACGTCGCGTCTTGGCTTCATCTGCCGCGTTCCATGGAACCCATCAGGAACATTCGCCTGACTAAGCGGGAGGGATTTCTCCTGCATCATAAGAGAGCTTCAAGGCAGCTCCTAAATTGCGGATTATTGCAGTGGACATGAAAGCATTCAACTTTGAGATGTTGACGATGATGGTATGACAGGGAAGAGTGCTCGAGACCATCAGTGGCTGATCGACAAGCCGGTTACTGACCTCAGGCAGACTTTGGCTGTCACCGGGAAGCTTACGTTGGCTGTCTCAGTCCTGGTATATTGGCTTCTATTCTGGGCACTCCCTCAATTCGAACCGTGGAACTACACACACATACTCTGTATTCACACTGAAGAGTCAAAAGAACCAGCAAAGCTCAACTTTTCCATCGAGCCAGGCTAGAGCATCCTCGCAGTAAGGCTGACAGGGACAGACCATCAGTACGGAGTATAGCTCTTGTCTATGATGTCAGTCCTTACATAACCATTAGCAGGTCAACGCCAAGAACATCCAACGAAATGTACTGCACCTCGTCCTCCACACCACGCAAGCTCACCCCAGATACGGCTCCAGAACGTCCAGCATTCCGCTATAAGCCGGGCCGCTGGGCGGCTCCATGCTGAACATGTAATCCGCCCACCACGGCCCAGCCGCCCACCAGACCGCGCCCTTCCACACGTCCGTGTTGTTGGCCATGTACTCCAGCATCCCCGCGATGGCCGTGCGACAGACGTCGTTGGCTCCGCCGGCATACTCCCCTATGATGCCCACCTTCCCGTTGTCCTTCAGCCACTGCGTGGCGGCCTGCAGGCGCTCCGCGCCGATCGTCTCCGACACGCAGACGCCGGACGTCCCCGACCCGTCCGAGTCGAGGTACTGGTGCATTTCGTAGACGAGCTTGTCCTGCGGGTCGGTCAGCCCCTTCATGTTGTCGTTGATGTCCGCCCAGGTCCACGCCCCGGACCACGAGTTGCCCTCCGCGAAGATGTACTGGGAGGTGGCGCCAGCCGCCCGGATGCCGTCGATCGCCGCCTGGTTGAGGTTCAGCACCAGGGTTTGGTCCATGGTGTTGTATTCGTTGTCTGTTATGTCAGCCACGGCAGGCTAGCGGTGTTATGGGGGTACTTACTCGTATCGAAGATGACCAGGTCGTTCTCCTTGAACTGCCCGGCGAGGTTCTGCCAGAAGGTCTGGAAGTCCGCGGTGCTGGAGATGATCTCGTTGTTGCTGGGGCGGTCAATGATGTTGAATTGCGAATTGAGTAGCTCATCACTCACTATCGTCCGTAATTGTGAGGGTCTACGATGGCATGGACACCCGCAGCCGTGATTGCGTCCACCACCTAGCCCTATCAGCCTCGACTGTCAAGCGTGCTTATTGGAACTTACCGTCGTGAGATTGTTTAGGTATGCCTCGTCATACGAGCCTGTCATCGAGTCCGGAACCAATCTTTCCATCATGAACTGCACGCGGAAGATATTCATCCCCTTGCTGACGAGGGTCGCGATGGCGGAAGTATCCGGGAAGATGTAATCGATACCCTGGTCCGGTCAGCGGGTTGATTGTTGGCATGGGGTGTGAACGAACCCAAGTTCCCGGAATGGCGGTGCCGAACTCGGCGCCCGACTCATTGGATCCGATCCCTATCGTCTTGAGTTAAAACTCATCAACTGGGAGACCTTGATGGGTACAACATGCATTCGAAAACAGACGCCCGCTTCTTGTGTTCGTGGGTAGGGGCCGCCACTGCACTGCCGGTCGCGGCAGCAGCAACAAGTAGGTTGAGTAGCTTCATCGCTGCCTGTCGATAGCGGAATCTTGCTGCTTCAGCTCCCAAACAACCATAGCAGCGTCCGACCCTTTATACTTCCATTCTGGGCGGGTTTTTCCGAATGTAGAACGGAGCTGTCGACGGAACCTCTACCGTCTCACTTCCATCAGTACCGAAACCTGACACAACGATCAGGGTGCCTGCCTCTGTACAGCTGGTCAGTGGTGCTCATGGAAACCAGGGCCCTCGACGATCATCGGTGCCATTCCCGCCTTGGCATCTGGGCATCTGGGCATCTGGGGTGTGAAACAGGCACGGAGATTACCAGTCATCCTGTTTTGCGGGGGTCCGTGGCGGTTCAGGCATGGATGTGCAGGTAACATGATCGCATAGCTATCATAATGTGTACTGTACTGACAGACCTTGCGTAGAGAATGCCCAACTGCATACATAAACTCAGCATCACCCACCCACCCTCCTCTTCCCATCCTCGCCCAAGTAAACCCCGGCGACCCTCCCAAACCCAATCCAAAACTACCACCCCCCGAGAACTTTCAAATGCTTCTTCATATCCTCCGCCTGCAGCAGATGATACTTCATCCCCGGATGATAATTATTCCACCAAATACAACTTACCCCATCATCGTTAATGCACGTTGCATCCGGGAACCCATACGCCGTCGGATCGTCGAGGATCTTGGTCATGAACGACCACGCATCGTAGAAGACGGTGGTAACCTATCCCCATGCCCCAGTTAGCCAAAGCCCTCACCCCTGCCCCAATGGAGGCAGGAAAAGAAGGAACATACCCCCGCAAACTCCCCCCTCAACCCCTCAACCATCGCCTCCAGATTCCGATTATACGCCGCGAGGTACGCCGCATGCCGCGCGACGGTGGCGTTCCCCTGGTCCAGAAATAAGGGACTGCGGCTGGTGGGCGGGACATTCAGGAACAAAAACTTGCGGGCGCCGGTGGCGTACAGCTGGGCGACTTGCTGCTTGAGGCGCGCGATGAGCTGGGGGGTGTAGCTTGCTGCGTCGGTGGTGGCGTAGGCGTTGCCGATACTATTTTCCCACTATCAGATTGCGCTTTGCGCTGGTTGGGTGGGGGGAGAGATGCTTCTGTTCTGCTTGGCGGACGGAGACAAGGGGCAAGGGGACAACAGGCGTACTCATTAATCCCGATCCAAAAACTAAACACGGCATCGCGCGAGGTCCACGGCGCACTGGCCGGCCTGTCGCGGTAGACATCCAGAAAAAGGCGGAGCTGGGCGGCGACGTCGCCCGGGTAGGCGGGGACGAGGGCGTTGTCGATGGTGGCGCCGCCGGCGGCCATGTTGTAGTTGAGCACGAGGGAGGCGTTCTCCTGGGTGGTCAGGTAGCCGATGTAGTTGGGGCCGTTGGTGGTGGTGCCGATTCCTTTTCACACGGATGAATTCTCTGGCTTGAGGGTTGGGTAGGTATACGTATGCACTGTACATACCTAGATCTGGATTGCCCATCGGCGCCGCAGCAGACGGTTGCGTTCCGGAGGCACTGAACCCGGTCTGCGAGTAGGAGTCGCCACTGAGTCAATCTTAGTATTTTGCTACAAGCGAGCACACACCAAGCAGAACAGCAACATACAACGTGAAGAAATAAGTCGGGTTGGTCGTCCCCGCGCGAGGCGATGGCCGGGCACCAGCCGTGGCGAGCATGGCTGCTATCCAAAGCAACTTCATAGTGAAAGGGACTTATAATAATGAGGACGAGGATCACGAAGAACAATACTTTCCCCGGAGCCCTACCCAAGGGCCACCGCACCGCTGTCTATTTATGCAGAGTGCTGGCATAGCTTCCCCCCACAGGCTCGATTGCTATTATCCCGAGATTACCTGGCTGCTGTTTGCTGCAAGTCTGCACTGCACTGCACTGCACCAACTCCAGAGGCTGGTCGATATGAGCTCGAAACCCCAATTCAACCGGTACTCCAACCACTCACTCCACTTGCCAACTCAATCTTTCCAGAGTGCGGGGTTCAAGCTCTTTGATCTGCAAGGGATCCCTGCATTGAGGATGGGCTATACCTCTTTGGCTACGGGATGTCCGTCTGGCATGATGCTTGAATACGGTTCCGTAGGTACTGTACTAACGGTGGATTTCCATTTCGTCCGGGTTGAAAACAATTTGCTATGCGTCTAGGTTTCTATCTATCGCAAGGTATATGTGCAATGCCGTGAAGAGCTAGCAGGGAATTCTATCACCGAAAATCCAACATCTCCATGCCCGCCCCACACACAACCAGCTTCCCCGCACCCGATGCCGCGTCGTGGATGATATCCAACGACGAGATGTCCGCAACGCAGCTGTACCGCTCCACCGCTTGGCGGATCTGGAGCCTCTCCCGTCCGTGCCGGCTGGGGTCGACGTCGATCCACCAGATCTTGACTTGGTGATCGTTGCCCGAGGAGGCAACGACGAACCTCTTTACTCCCTGATCGTGGATGTGCTTGAGGATGCGGACCGTCGTGACGCATGCTGCGTGCGCGTCGGGGATGGTCACCGTGTATGTCGCGTCGCTGGCGCCGGCGGTGGTGTCCAGCAGAGTCGCGGTCACGGCGTTGTCGTCGCCACCGGCGACGATCAGCGCCGAGGTGACCGATAGGTCGGCCAGATCCATCGCCTTGATGCTGTTCCAGTGGATCTGGTACCGGTTCTCGCAGGAGATCGTCTCCGGCGCGATCGATGCTCCGCGGATGGGTTGCTTGGGGATCAGTGGCGACGAGATGGTGTAGAATCGCTCGAGGACGGAAGTCAAGTTCCACAGGGTGAAGTATCCGTCCGTCGCGGCCGTGATCAGATTCAAGGTAGAGCCGTTCAGGAGGAATCGAGCCTGGGTGAGACAGTTGCTCATATAGGTACCACTGGCGAGAAGGGTGAAGCAGCCCTTGTCGGCGGACGAGTAATGGAAGATCTAGACAATTAGCACAGAGCACGAGGGAGGGGAGGATAGTGAGTACCTTGATGGTGGAGTTGGAGTATGTCAGGCAAAGAAGGAATCCATTCTCCGCCTCTCTCTCGTCCACTTCCAACGTGTCGAAGCTCGTCACCCGCAGATCGGAGTTGGGGTCACTCTTAGGACACTCTCCCGCCAGCATGGTTCCCAGACCAAATTGGGGGATCGAGCACGCCCGCCAGACGAAAAATTGCTCATAGCCTCCGCTGGTAAAGAGGAATTTGCCATCCTTGGACCAGTCCACGCTTTGAATTCCGGTATGATGCATCCGCAACAGCCGGAGGCATTTGAATGCACCCCAGCGGGGCTCTACCTGCGGGTCTTGAGGTGTGAATATCCGCACGTTGGTGTCTTCTGAGCCAGTCGCAAACAAGGGGCCTAGACCATCCGAGTTCTGAGTGGCACACATGTCCTTGACTTCCCGACCATGGCTTCCGGAACGCAACGTGCGACTGGCGTCTGGCTGTATCGACAGGGCAGTCAACCCGGACTGAATCCAGATGAACGATCCCGCCCAAGCAACATCTTGGCTGGGCTGAAACGCCCAGGATCGCCGGCCTCCGTTACAGTTGTGTCTGGCGACCTCTGTCTGAGCGGACTCGTTCCAAAGCACAAAGTCCATCGGCTGGAACCCATAGAACATCAAGTCTTTGGAGACGTTGTCGATATAAGCGCCTGCTATCTCACAATTGAACGCAAGAGAGGAACAGTGGAGCGTTCTCAAGGAGACCGAGGGGTCCGGACCTGTGGAAAAGGCCAGTTCATGAATGCTATATGTTCCATTCCGACCACAAGTCATGAAATATGGCAGGTCGGATCCTCTGTCCCCGTAGAGCGATGCAAATGAAGTGATGAAGCTGAGTCCTTCGCGTCCGTGTACCTTGCACGAAGGCATGACTGGCTTAAGGATTTCTGACACTGCCACGGGATAAACAGCAAATGAGCCCGTCAGGGATCCCAGCGCGAGGTACTGGTCATCATGAATTAAGGCTGCAGTCGACACACCGAAACCGTGGGGCAGGTCAAGCTTGACTCTATCCACGCATGGATCTGCGCCGTCTGCCATCGTAGCCAAGAACAAATCAGCCTTCTCGGCTTTCGGATAGACTGCAACGAACGACAAAGTTGCCGCTTTCTCGGTCGTGCTAGATTGGTACTCGAGAGCGTACAATCCCACCGGCCTTTGGCCAGCATCGACCACTTTGGTGAGTGATCCGGTACTGTGGTCATATAGTCGTATCAAGCCTCGGGCGTTACCCAGGAGAGCTATGCCTTTCTGTGGCAAGCCCGTGATGACTGAATACGAGCGCAAGTCTTCCTCAACTGTTAGAGTCTCTTTGAGGATGTGCTGTGTAGTCGAGCTCCCCGTCCCTATCCGTCCGATCTGAACCTCACCTCGCACGGTCGTGGCGACAAACGAGTCCTGCGAGACGAATCCAAAACCTTTAATCGAGGTTTCAATACGAGGTTCAGGACTGGAAGCATCTACCGAGGTTGCGATGCGGTTACGGAGATTGGGCAGAATGACATCTCCATCGCCATGCAGTTCGATGGTAAAGCTCTTCACGGCGCCATCAGCACCACCAGTATAAACAACCGTTTCTGTGTCGGTATGACGCATCTCAAGTGCCCAGATGTGCTTGCCCGTATGTTTGCGCACAGACATGGTCTCCACCAGTTGAAACTGAGGCTTTTCTGTCGAAGACGGGTCCCAGGTCAGGTCCCAGAGCAAGCACGTAGCATCTTCGCCACGCGAAAGCAGATTGACTTTCCCAAGGCCTTGCTTGACAGGCAGGAAATGAACCCCCCAGATACGGGCCAAGTGGCCAAACGCACTCGCAAGAATGGACTCAGACCCGAGCCCATTGTCACCAGCTCCTGCGCCGAATCCTGTGCCGCGAAGCTCGAACCCATCGGTCGAATAGGCGGGAGTGTCGTGACGGGAAGTACGCTCGCAATCGGAGATGTCCCAGATCCTGACAGTTCTGTCGTCACTGCAACTAGCCAGGAGTCGTCCATCACGACCCCCGTGCAGAGAAGGAATCAGAGGAGAAATCTGGACTCCAAAGATCGATCCCTCATGGCCTGTAAAAAAGTGATGTATCGACCCGGTTGCGCTGGTCGAATCGTCCTCAGCCAAGTAGCACGACCAGACTATAATCTCGCCAAAAACCGTGCCAGCCGCAACAAGGATGTGGGCTTCGGACAGCGAAAGCACATTCGCCGAATAAAGGATGGACTTCACACCAGCCACAAGTTGGCGGATTTCAATCCGTTTCTCATAGTCAGCCCCGGCCTGCCTGACAAGCTGCACGCCCAAGAGCGCATTGTGAGCCGTCAGCATATAAGCATTTACAACTTCGCCATCCGTCTCAGGCGCACATCCAGCCAGGATCCAATCCGGCGCGAGATACTCTGGGCTCGCAGCTTGTACACTTGCGCTCAGCTGCTGACTGTCAATGTGTAGACTGAACGCTCGGACGGACTGCCCTCCCCACGCAACAAAGTCCGCCTGTGGTTCTTGTTCTGAGTGGCCCAGCGCAACGATCCCGTGCACATGGTTTCGTTTGAACACTTTCAGTTCGGCGAGCAGACGCCCGCTTTCTTCATGAAGGAGCCGGACATGGGTCCCTTGACTCTGGAGAAGGAGTTTAACATCTTTCAAGACCAGCGCCTTCAGCGCGGTTACCGGGACGCATGTGTCAATGTGCTTGTACGGCATATTAGCTAACGGCTTCCGTCGGACACGCAAGAAAGAGCAACCACTCACCTCGAGGGAGGAAGTCATTGATGCTGCCAGCGCGACACATTGGTTCGCTTGGTTCCAGATGGCTTGTCACTGACCTCTACCTTAAGCGGTGGCTTTTCCCCGCGTGGAGAATCATTTCCTCGCTCAAAATTCCAGAATTTCCACCCATTGTGAGGATGCTTAGGTAAGCGGTGCGGGATGCCCACTTTCCCGATTGAGCCATTGGTGCACGTGATGTGCTGAGTGGGTGGACTGAGGACTTATCTCTTTCATTCATCCCTGAGCAGAAACAATGAATTGATCATGTACCTTGTGCAAAGCTTAGATGCAAATCTGACGCTATAGGTTGCCGTGCCGAATGGCTTACTCTTGTGCAATAGAAAGGTGTGCTACGATTTCCGTCATGCTTCGCAAGCCAACTCGTGACCATGGGGTCGTGCTTGACCTTATCTTAAAGGATTTACAAGCTTTCTGGGAAATCTTTCGTGGCCTCGTTGATTTGACAATTTCGGATGCAAGGAGCTACACATGCTTGCATAATTAAAACTAATCTAAGACATGCGCGGATTGTTCCGAGAATGTTGAGACACTGATCAACAGGCACAGGGGGTCAGTATGCTGATCAAAAGTTTCGTTCACAGGGTGCTGGGCGCTGTTTTCAAGCAGAAGATCTAGTGGTCGGTAAGAAAACAAGACCTAATATGAAAGTGGAAATTGAGTAATGGGAGGAATTGTCCACGGTACCGGGGGGGTTCTCTAATTTCAATAAGGCTTTACCTCGAGCAGGGTGAGCATCTGCAGATAAGAACCCTCCCGCAAGGTCAGAGCGAGCGCTTGAAGATGTCATCGGCACCAGTCAATGCGAAAAGGCACATCCCCAAAGGCGCTGCTTGAACCGATGAGGGCGACGAGGTACAAAACTCAATGGCTACTTCTCCTGGATCTCCACATCATGGCCTGCATGAAGCAAAAAAAAAAAAAAAAAAAAAAAAGGAAAAAAATCATCTCTCGTCATGCGTCAATCACTGGTGATACCACCCCACCGTTCGTCATGATGTTGCAGTGCCGATTCTTTTTGCCAAGCAATGCGATGCCATGAGATCTGGTTCTAAATGGTCCAAATGCGGAGATGGTCGATCACTGCGACCAAAGAACACTGCATCTGTGCGTGCGGTATAGGAGCTTAAACAATGGACCCGCATGAATCTGAGACTCGCAATTTATCTCGAGTACTCAGCTCTAGCCTCAGGAGCACAGTTCGGTGGGTAATGGTAATTTGTGGTCCGAGAGTCTCCATGGGGCTGGGAAGCACACTAGGCAAGGTTAAGATTTTCCTGTTCTACACAAACATCAGGTGAAATCCAGACTATTAGGCAGCCATGCAAACCTTGACTGAACTAGCTTCCAGTCGGTAGGGTCTGATTGCATCGTGCAAACTCTGAATTTGCAGCTTCATCTTCAGTGTATCGAGGGCAAACGATCGATGACATCAGATATGGGGAAGGCGTTCTTCGGATCGCGATGACGTCGCGGATGGGATGATGGGGACGGAGGGTGGTATATCAGCCCTTCCTCGACGGTTTCGCTTTTTGTCTTTCGTCTGCTTGTACCTCTGACCAGTTGCTTAATATATTAACAGAGCATAACTGAGAGCTCTTCAAACTGTACGCTGTGATTTGCCAATTCGCCCTCCGATCCAGCTTCTTAACAGTACACGCAGGCACTTGGGTAGGTTGTTGAATCCCGAGTCATCACTAATTTCCTGCCCGACCGAGCCCGCAACCGAATCGGGTTTAGAGCGTGGTCTCCGCAGTCTCGACGTCACCAGCCTCTCCAAAGCGTTGCAATCACCCACCTCAATTCTCTAGTGCTTCGATCTTGCACCGCAAGGGGAGATCCTCAGGAGCCAGGACCCAGAGCGCCAGAGTGTCATCGATCCCTCCTTAAAAGATCGCTTAACCGGTTAGTGCCTCGCTCTCAACCCACGGCTTTTAGTCGATCATTAGTAGCCCACTAATCCAGATCTCGAACAGGTTGCAGTTCCCACCCATCCTTCGTCGGTCACTCTTCCGTCGCATCCCGTCGCACTCGGTGCCACACGTCACTCCTGCGCAAAAGGAAAGGAAAAAAAAAAAAAGGTCTATCTTAGAAAGGATCCCGACCATCTGATTCTGCTGCAATCCTTTTCCGCGATTTCTTCTCCTCATATCCTCACTTTGCCCTATCCTTTTCACTCACTTCCCTTGAGCTTTCACAACAATAGCGAGCAACTTCGTCACCATGCATCGCACCTATTCTATGCGCCAGTCGCGCGTGCCCACCGCCTCGCAGATCGAGAACCCTCCCCCGCCATTGTCCTCCACCAAGTCCAACAGACTCTTCGGAAAGGGTGGCTTCGGTGCGTGTTCTTTTTGGCCTGTTATGGTTGACGCCCATCCTGCTAACACAATTAAGGTACAGGCCATGCCCTGCGCAAGAACGCCGCCGGCGCCTTCGGGCCAGACCTAGCCCGCAAGCTCTCCCAGCTGGTCAAGATGGAGAAGAACGTCATGCGCAGCATGGAGATGGTGTCCCGGGAGCGCATGGAGACTGCTGTACGTTGTCGCTGGCATGGAGCTTCCGGAGTGTACTAACAGCAGCAGCAACAACTCTCCATCTGGGGTGAGAACTGCGATGAGGATGTGTCTGACATCACCGACAAGCTCGGTGTCTTGCTCTACGAGATTGGAGAGCTCGAGGATCTCTTCGTTGACCGTTACGATCAGTACCGTGTTACCATAAAGAGCATTCGCAACATCGAGGCTTCCGTCCAGCCCAGCCGTGACCGTAAGTTTTTGCCCCAGTGCCCTCGGAGTCAGGTGACTGACCGTGCATCCACCCTACAGGCAAGCAGAAGATTACCGATGAGATCGCCAAGCTCAAGTACAAGGACCCCAACTCTCCCCGCATCGTCGTCCTGGAGCAGGAGTTGGTCCGCGCGGAGGCCGAGTCGCTCGTGGCCGAGGCCCAGCTCTCCAACATCACCCGCGAGAAGCTCAAGGCCGCCTTCCAGTACCAGTTCGATGCGCTCCGCGAGCACTGCGAGAAGGTGGCGCTGATCGCCGGCTACGGCAAGCACCTGTTGGATTTGATCGACGACACGCCGGTGACCCCCGGCGAGACTCGCCACGCCTACGACGGCTACGATGCCAGCAAGGCCATCATCCAGGACTGCGAGGAGGCACTCGCCAACTGGGTCACCTCCAAGGCCTCGGTCAAGTCCAACCTGTCGACCCGCTCGCGCACCCTGTCGCAGCGTCGCCGCGAAGGCGTGAACAAGAGCCGCGAGGGCGTCGACCTCTCTGGCCAGGACCAGCCTCTGGGCCGCGATTCGTGGGTGCCCGCCGACCAGCACTCGTCCTACCACCACGATGTAGAGGATGGCGAGGAGGTCGCCAGCACTCTGGACGGTGAGACTCGGGGCCGGGAGGAGGAGAGAGAGCCCGAGACAGCCGTTTAAGAGGTTGCTTTCCCCTTTTCAAACAGTAACTTGAATCTGATTGATATTATCCTGAACATGGAGGTTCCTGGAGTACGCCACTAATTGTGTGATTTGGTTTCCATCGAGATTCCCGCTTGATGTGTTGTTGTTCTGCCTTGTCTGCTTTCACCCCCGATGAATTACTGATGATTAATCGATTCCGATGGCGATGTCTATCCTGCCAAAAACAAAACCAAAAAAAAAACAGAACATAATATCCAGGCGTGTGTCCGCAAAACAAGAGGGGTGTGAATTTGTGCCCTGACGGCGCACGTCTGCGATGATGCCATAGGGGGTCGGACTTTTTAACGCGGGCGATTATTTTCCCTCTACTGTCTTAATCGACTAATGTAATACTATACCACTTGCCCAGGTTGATGGTGATGGGGAGGTACATGTTTTGACTTGTGTTGTGTTGCGTCGTGATTGCAGTCATGTTGTTTAGGATTTGAATAGTAATCGATTGACTTGCGGTCATTATTTAGTTGAAGTATGGTCCTACAGGTTTTATTCTCCCATCGAAGGAGGCCATGTAGAACCAATATTAAGAAAGCGGTATTCCTCTTATCTCACGGCTGGGAGTATAGAGAGCGAAGTAGATTGCAACTTCGCCGAGAATCATAAAAACGATAGATACCCACCGACCTAGCACCGCATCTCAATGATGCTCTGGGCTGGCTATGAACTAGCCCCAACCCATTCCAAAACCGCTGCAACAATGAGCCCTCAGCAGGACCTATACCCGAGGTATCACCTCCTTCCCTCCCTCCCTCCCACCCACCCACCATTACTCCCTCCAAATCAACCATTCTCGTGACGAGAGACCCAAACTCGCAGCATAGGCCTTTATGAAAAAAAACACAACCCCCAAACCCAATCAACAACATTCTGTTCACCTCGCTAGACTAGACGAAATCCACGAGATCCATCACCGCCATCCTATCCAAAGATCTAAACCACACAAGATACCCAAGGTGACTTACTATACCCCGGCCCGTACTCCGGCCGCGAACCAACCCCTCTCCAGCGAAAAGACGAGATAACGCATTGTATCGCCATAGAGCCAGACGCATACAGACCCAAACCTCAACCGCGATCTCGCGAAATCCCTCTTGATGGCATATCTTCCCGTTGCCCCCCGCCCCCCGTTGATCGAACGATTTGTAACCCCAAGCATCGACCTGAGCACGGATGTGCGTGCTCGCTCGACACATCGCGAGTGGCATGGGACTTGAGATGGTGGGTGGGGTGTGTGATGGTCGTGATTGGGTTGGCTGCTGCTGCTGCTGCTGCTGCTGCTGGAGTTGACGGCTATGGGGAAAGGTTCGTAGTGTAGTGTATAGTGGGCTGTTAGCTGAGTCCAGCGTGATATAGATATAGAGATCGATTTGCGGATATGCGGACATGCGTCGAAGACCGGAGTTCCAGGCTTTCTTCGTCTTGATTCGGTGTAGCTATACTTAGATGGATTAACCTGTTCGGTGTAGGCAGTCATCGGGTGTGGAAGCACTTGCTGTCATGTAGGCTCATGTGTACTCGTTCGAGGGAGTAACTGGACTAAATATGGCGCGGTGTTTCAGCTACAGACTTTTGCAACTGTAGGGTGGGGGTGTACTGTACTGGTCTTGTGTTGAGGCGGATGGTTGTGATGTATTCCTGAAAACTTAGGGATACTTGGGTTCAACTTTGAGATCATGGGGTGGACTGTACCAGAAAGATGGGGAGTATAAGTTATGGAAGCAGCCGAGGTTTCGAGTGTATAGAGTCACGTCTATATACAGTCATGTCTCAATGTTCACTATACCTGGACTAAGCCTGCCCTCTGTACAGTACACGGCAGAACAGTACAGTGGTATAGTGAAGAACCAGACAGTGCGGCGTGCTCACCTCAGTAAGGCAGGCCCGGGCCATTACCAGGTACAGACAGAGTCAACGCCCATCCCAATCCGGACGCCCTCCCCGCGATCCTACATGAATATTCCTCAGGCAGGAATGCCGAGTGCGGGTGCGGGTGCGGGTGCGCCGGCCGAGATGAAGTAATGTCGGTCACCACCGCATCAGTCACACCACTGCACTGCATAAACCTCCTCGGGGAGATCGAGAGACTGAGTACACATATTAGTCTAGTGCAGTGACGGTAGCGAACACCTCAGCTGAGTATTCCGCAAGGTCCCTCGAATCACCTCTCCGCCTGGGTGAAGCGAGGTGAAGCTAGTGCAGAAGTACCGTACAGTACATGTAGACTACGGTGCTGCGGTGGTTTGCAGACTGACCAATACCACAAGTATGTGCCCCGTGGGGGTTCGCTAGAGTTTGGTGTGATTCAGGTTCATGATGGCGCAATTCCTGGTGGATTGCAATTCATGGACGGCCCTGAGAGGAGTCTATAGTTCCCTCCAATTAACTGGGTTACCTGTACGGATGTTTGACACCATCTGGAAGAATTAAGGGTAATTCGTTCATCGAAGATTTGTTCAGTGGGCTCTTCTTGTTCATTCATTTCAGTCTGGTAAATCACCCTCTCTCTCCTGAGAAATCCCCAGGTATGGTCGGCTTCAAGCCGGCGCCTCATAGCTATAGCCCCATACGATAAATGAAAGATGCGAGATTGTACGTGCCTGGGTCTCAGCGAAAACAAAAGAAGTCAATATAAACACCCCGTATTCCCTGGACTCCGATTTGCGCGTTTGGAAGAGAACAACGAAACGAACAACACAGACACAAATGTATATATAGAGAAAAGAAAATAGCAATCGGTCACAATCGAGGCTTCCTGATCCCGATCCCCCATCCCGCCCTGATAGTAATAACCCGGAAATGTTCAATAAACGACACACGTGTATATGACTGGCCTTCATATACCGAAACATGAAGATGATGGTTGAGGATAAGTGTGGGTTGCGTGCACACTTGCGAAAAGAAAATGGATAGAGAAACTCAAAAGGTCATTACATCGTCATCCGACTTTCCATCCTAGGATAGGTCCCCGGCCTTTCGAAGCGAATGGTATGAGAAGCATACAAAGAGATAAAAACAGATGCGAAGAAGCACAGCGTCAAACGGAATCCGCAAACTAATGAAGGCGCAAGGGACTCGACATGTCGCGTGAGTGGAGAATCAATAAGTAGGTTTTATGCGATTTCTTTTGATTTGACACGGGTTCAGCTGTCGGTGCCCACGCCCTTCTTTTTGGGCTGGATATGTTTCTGTCCTGGGCCGGTGACGCTGGAGGTTTTCGAGGTCAAGGCGCTGCTGTCGGTCGGGGGCGCCAACCGGGTCGAGCTGGCTTCGTGCTTCTCGGTGAGCAAGTTCTTGAGCCATCGGTTCTCCATCTCGAGCTGGGCCACGCGAGCCTCGAGCGAGGCGTTCTTCTCGGTCGTCTCGCGCACGGTGCGTTCCAGCGTCTGCTCGCGTTGCTTCTTCTTCATGCGGAACCGGGCACTGGCGGCCGTGTTCCGGCGCCGGCGGTCTTCTTCCGCGGCGCGACGGACACCCTCTTCCTGATTGAGAGCCGACGCGAGGTGGTCGCCGTGAATCTGTGTGCTGTATTTGGTATTGGTGATGGCACCGTTGGGAGGTGATATGGACGAGGAGACATCAGATGGCGTCAGGGCCCCGGGGACCTGCGCCAGATCATCTGGGGGCCCATATGAGATGGGTGGGTAGAGTGGGTGAGCTGGATAGGAAAGCATTTGATCTGTTGTGAAGCTGTCAACACCAAGGTAGAGGAGTGGACGGCAAGCGATAAGATAAAAAAGCCACAGTGGGATGGGGAAAGGGGGGTGGAAAGGAACAATGGAAGCGGAAGCAGCAAGATATGATGGGGCACATGGAAGGGGATCTTGGTCCGGTACACCAAGGGATGAGAGCTTGGCTTAAGGGTCCGTCACTGACAAGGCTCCCGACGTTGTCATTGGTGTGGATGATTGCGTGCTCACATAGAGCATTGCACTCATCACCAGACAACCACGAATCCCCGGAAATAGATTGGTCAAAAAATGAGCAGTCAGAACCGCAACAACAACAGACCAGTCTGCACGAGGAGGGTGATTGCTTTCTCCAGAAGATTCAGGAAATTCCCCTCCCGCAATGCATTGATCATTGCTGGGTCCGACACAGCAGTAAGGAAGGTGAAAAAGAGGAGCAAGAGACACAACACAGGAGACAACAGACAGGCACAAGGCGGTTAGACAAGGAAATGGCAAAGCCACGGAAACTCCATCAGGCAGCCAGGTAAGACAATCTATCAGTTTAAAGCCCCGTCGGTTTTCCAGAAACAGGAGGAAAGCGTTTGCTGTTACATGCATTCCGCAGCAACTCCAGCATATTCCATCGGAGAGCCGTAGGGCCAGAGATTGGGAAAACGAACCACAAAGCTTGAAGATGGCGCCAACAATGCAACAATGAGAGTCATTTATAGAAAGCTCCAAGCTTCCGACTTACCATAATGCGGATATCCTCGCACATCGATCGGACTGCGCTCGTCCTCAATGCTGTCATATGAACTGACGGACAGGCCGCCCATTCCCTCGGTCTGGTCGTAATCCATATTCAAGTTCTGAAAGGAGGCCAAAGCTGTCGATTCTGCATCAAAGGAGTACTGTCGACTCTTGGCCAGGTTGGGATCGTGTCGAGAGAGAAGAAAGTTGAAGTTTTCGAGCCTATCGAAGCTCGAGGCTGTCCGCTGAGCGAGGGTTTGCTCATCTGACATTTTGGCGGTGGAGGGCTTTTTAGAGGATTTTTGGTCTCTTGTCCTCTTAATTAGGTTCTGTGTTTTATTAAAATTGTTTTGCTGGACCTAATGACTTTGCCCCCCAAGTATGCTGGGTGGCTTGCTTTTTTTTCCCCCGAGCCAACAGAGAGGATGATAGATGACCACCAGAGCCAATGTCGGACCCCGGATCAGCACGGTAAAGAGGGGAGAATTCGGTTTTGGGTAAAGCAGAACAAATGATCCAATGAGTTATAGAATAATTTTAATTTTTTTTTGTTTCTGTCTTTGAGCTGGAAGAGGCAAATGTCGGGGGGTGACTTATAGCAAAGATAAACTGTTTTCCGCATTCACTTTACCTATGGTCATGGCATGGCCCGAGACGGCTAGCCACGTACGCAAAGAGCACGAGTTAGAGGACGGGAATAAGACACAATTAGTCTAGCTGGGTGGATCAACCCAGGAGGAATGAGAGGGGAGAAGGAGGGGGGGGTGTGGGAGGGGGGTGGGAGGCGTTTGGTAGCAGGAGATGCAGGATCACACAACAGTAGGGTGGTAGGGAAAGGTCCAGCAGCAATAGGAAATTGGGGCATGTATCATCCAAACAAAAAGATGAGAAAAGAGAACATCAGGTCGGGGGGGGGGAAAGGGAATAAGCACACAAGCAGCGAATACGGGCGTTGATGGTTGATCGTCTCATGGCCCGGCCAAGCTAGCGGATGATCTGATAGAATGGAGAAATGTCGTGATCGCACTCTGTGGTTGGTCAATTTGCCAACCTCGGGTCACTTCATTCAGTTTCACCGCTCGCCGGCAGAACAGAGTGGGAGGGTGTTAAAGAAGTATGGAAAGGAAGGAAAGAGGACAGGGAAAGGGGATGATATAAATGTTGATATCTATGTCATGAGATTGTGGTCCAGCTGGAAAAAAAAAAAGAAAAAAAAAAAAAAAAAAAAAGGAATTTCCAGAAGAATAGAAGGGTTAAGAGGAACAAGCAGTTCTGGAGAAGTGGGTAATTGTCAGTGAAGGGAGACCGTGAGGAAGGACGAGATCTGAATGGGCAGGAGCCGAAGAGCGGGCGGACGTCAACACAGCGCAAATCAGTACAAGTAACAAGTAACAACAGTACAAACTGGAAAGGGGAGACGACCCGCTGAGGGACCCAATCGTCCTCCCACTCCTCCCACTCCTTCCCACTCATCATTCAGTTCCTGTCACTGAACATTCGTCATCACCGTTCTGGGCTAACTATCTAGGAACCAAAAGCCAACGCGTACTCGCACTTCCTACCGGTCGGGTTTCCAGAGAAAGAACATGAATGATGATCGATTGTTCCGCGGTGGATATCAACTTCCAACTTCTCAAAGTTTCTCAGTCTTCACACAACCAACCGCTTCCGCGCTTCATTCAGGGGAGGCTTTCGGAACTTCCAGACTCTCGGAACTTACATCATTTTGGCTTAGACAGTTCCCACTGGTCGAGCCTGGCCCAATTTATCTCCAGTCCGATTTCACGATTCAGGATAGCCCGGGCTCCACTACTACTGCAAGAATTTTGAGCGCCGTGTGCTCACTACTGCTAAGCTCGCAGCTCCAGCTACACGGACTCACAGTAGCTCTGGGAATGCCTCTCTTTCATTTCCCACGGCGGAAAAATCCGTATCCACTCAATGGCCTTTGCCACCTGATGCGGACGACGCCGTTGGTACCTTTGAATGAGATTTGGTGCTTCTCATTCCTTGGCGCTGGTCTTTCTCCCTCTTTGAGCATATCTTGGTGGCTGTTTACTTTCACTCTCCATCTTCCACTTCTCATCCTCACAGGGCTTCTACCCGCCGGACGAACCAGGCACAGTTGTCTCCCCCCGCGATCCACATCTCACTTTTGCTGCCGTAGTTTCCCCGAGGCTTGTTGAAGTATGAGACTTCTGTCTCGCGTAAATGAATCGCACAGATCGAGAGGTGAGCTGACTCAGTCCAATCCTGCTTGCTGTCTACTTGCCAGGTGCCATTAAGCAAATTCTGCACCGTCGTTTACCTCGATAGAAGATCGTGGCTTGCTGCTCTATCTCGATCCGATTGCATCGGCTGTGCGTCGTGCGAGTTACACAAATATGAAGCGACAGCGGTTGCGTCCAGACAGTGACCTCTACGTAGTCCCTGATCGACTGCTCTTTCTCTCGCGCCATCCCCACTGCGTCTCCGTGTTCATGATTTGTCTCCGCGGAGACTTGACTCCCGTCCGGAGCGGCCCATACATGTCCACTGTGACCCAGACCTTATACCTTCTTTTCCCCGACGGCCGAGTAACAGCTTCGCGCTACGTACATAGCACATCCTCATAGTTCATGGTAGTCTATCCTCCAACTGCCCCAGCAGTGTGCATCTGGTGTCCCTCTATCCACATTCGCCATCTACGGGAAACGCCGAATCCCTAGTAGGCTTCGCGTAGAATTTCCCCGTTCGTCGGAGGGTGGTGGTTGGCCACTTGGGACAAGAGCGTTGGAGATCTTTATACGTAATATGAAGAGAGCCAACGTACTACATCCCACGTACTTACCCAGTGATCATTCTACAGTGCCATACATGCACGTCGGAATTGTAACTCATATGATCGGACTGCCTCGGTGAGCCACGAGGAGCGACTTCCTAAATGGGCACGTCATTCGCGGCACTGGGCACTGGGCGATGGGCAGGCATCGCAGCTTCCGCGAAGGCTTACTATATGTTCTCTCTGCCACATTGTCCTTGTCTCGGCCTTAAGGAAGCGCAAAGCGCTATAGCACCTCGGCATCATTTCTCACATCCGTATTTCAGAGCAGCAATGCTTCAAACTAATCATGGTTAAAGGTCTATCATGTTGGATCCGCACTCAGGACTCGTGAAAAAAGACTTCGCGCCTTCGCTGCAACTGACAGGGTGAAAGCTTATTCCACAACTATCGCCGCGACCACAACCACGACTCTATACTCACTCCGTCCCTTGCTCTCGTAGCATGCAGCATTCTCAGACCCGCAACTGCGAATTGTACACCGGCCACCGACCTGCTTGGTCGTATCATGCAGTGAGTCAATTGCTCTAGACCATTCCCCTTCCCAGCCAGTCGATGCGCAAGAATGCTGACGTACTTCCGTGTCCTAGACCGGCGACCGAGCGTCGAAACTCACCGCGGGGCAAACGTACCGGTTCCAGAATGCGGGGAAGGCTTGATGATACTACTAGCACATAATATTTGTGTTCTGGAAGTTTGTTCTGGAAGTTTGTTCTGGAAGTTTGTTCTGGAGGTTCTAGCAAACAAGTCCCGCCAGGGCTTATTTGTCTGTTCGACAACTTGAGCTTGCCACGAAGCCACCCAAATATCAACACAAACCCGTTTGAAATTTGTTACTTCGAATTGTAACTAGCATGGGCCTTTCGTGCTTATCAGGATGGTGAACAGCAGTCGACCAAGTCACATCAATTTTGCACACAAAGCAGGATTGGACCAGAAGAGGTTCTGTCCGCCGGGCAACAAGACTAAAGAGACTATGTGAAGCAACGAAGCAAAGAAGTAGCGGAACAGCCTCGATCTTGAATCTAATCAGCATACTACGATTCCAGGGACATGAATAGGGGTATGGTCTGAGGGGTTTTTGCATTGCTATGAGGGTGTTCTCGCATCGGAAAGAAGCGTTGTGCCGTCCGGGACGGAATTTGGAGGCGCCGACTTGCCGAGCGAGCCTCGACAATCTCCTCCAGCATGGGACGGCATTAATAATCCCTGCCAAAAAGGACCTCCCAACTGTCACCAGATTAATGAAAAATTCGAGTCAACACCTTTGATCACCTCCTTTCGGTGTCTACTGTCGCTGGTGCAGATCTCATTATCTGGATTGTCTTTGGCCATAACGAAATTGTCCTTGTGCCGCTGCAACACAGTTCAACTGGGCAAATAAGCATTACACATCTCGACCCGATCCTCCTGCACTAAACGGAAGCCGGGTAGCTAAGAGCCTAAGGCTCGATCCCTCCCGCGTAGCGCTCTCATCACTCTTTCCCGTTTGCCGTTCACTCAACCTCTTTTCTCCTGTATATTTTGCCTGATAGGGCTGGGCTGGTGTTGTCTATCCGGCCGCTAAAATCTTTTTTCATTCTTCTTCAGCTTGGTCCTGCTTGTTGCTATTGGATGAGCGATGCTTACTCCGCTGCTTTATTGCACATGATCACGCTCCGTTGTCGTCAGCCTATAAGGTGATCCACCAGGCCATTTGAGTATGGGCCCGTTCGAATCTATGGTGATAGTAGCCGATTGCTCTGTCTAGACACACGCCATGCAGAGTCTGGATCTGAGTACCGATCACTCGTCCTCCTGGCGCGTCCAAACTAGTCCTCTCCTTCCAAGAAATACAGGCTCCAGCGGTGGGCAGGACCTGGACAGCCGGAGGCGGAATCCACTGGTAAGCAATCTGTCCTCTTGGTTTTGCAATACAATAGAGCACGTCAGTAAACGTTCAATGCAGGCATGTGAAACATGCTACAAGAGAAAGATCAAATGCGAAGTCGAAGGGTCTAGCAATGCTTGCATCCAATGTATGCGCCGCAATATACCATGCAAATTCACCACAAGAAAAGAAAAAAGAGAGTCATTGAAAAGGTAAGTCTTTCTACCACCCTGACTACTCTCGAAGCCGCACTAAAAATTGGCTAGGACACAGTATGTGAGAACACTAGAAGAACGAGTCAAGAGGACAGAGTCTCTGCTTCGAGCCGCTGGTTTGTTCGCCGAAGAGCTGTCACTTGAGGATGAGTATCTGAGCGAAGAGGGAGATGATTGTGATCGTGATTTGGACTCCGATGACGATCTCATTTCCCCCTACTTTAGTCCTCGTGCTGGCGTCAGTAGACGCAATTCCGAACCGTCGGCTCTAGATGCTTCTAGCGATTTGCCAGACGCACAGCCTCATCCGTCGAATGACAAGGGAAAGTTACAAGCTGCACCGGAATCTCCCAAGGGTGGAAACCGTGCAATTCCCAAGCCCGGCCAGCCCCATGCCCCTCTTTTCGTCCTGGACAATAGAGAAGAATATAGGTACTATGGTACGAACTGTTCTCCCATTTGCGGCGCTTCTTTCCACAAACCTCGACTGACTTCGATTCAAGGACGGTCCTCTTCAATGTCTATTCTCTCACGAGAAGGCCTTGAATGGATTAAGAGAAAGACCGGTGAAACAAAGCTTGTGAATGTCATATTTTCTGA